ATTGCAAGGATGTAAATGGACATAAGAATGGCCAGACAGGGTCAGACCAAAAGTCCATCTAGCCCAGTGTCTTGACTTCTGACAGTGGCCAATGCCAGATGCCCCAGAGGGAGTGAGCAGGACAGGAAATCATGAAATCACCCTGTCACCCATTCCCAGCTTCTGGAAAAGAGAGGCGATGGACACTATCTGTGTCCATAGTCCATGAATTTATCTAATTATTTTTGAACCTTCTTTATAGGTTTGGCCTTCACAACATCCTCTGGCAAGAAGTTCCACAGGTTGACAGTGCATTGTGTGAAGAAATGCTTCCTTGTTTGTTTTAAACATGTGGGCTATTAATTTCAGTTGGAGACTCCTCGTTGTTATGTTATGAGGAGTAAACAACACTTGTATTTCCTTTGTGCCTTTGTACAGCACCTAGCACAGTGAGTCCTGGTCCCTGACAGGGGCTGCTGGACACTACAACACTACAAATAAATACTAATAATGATTTGGTCCCATGTGTATTTAGACAGCTTCAGAATGGAACCATGCTTCATTAGGGAATAAGCAATAGGACCACAGGAACAGAACTAATTTTTTACCCGTCGATAAGTCTGATAGTTTGGAATCACTTCATCCCGTGGGGAGGAGGGCAGCAGTCAATGCATGCTAGTGAAGAGATTTTGGCAAAGAACATTAAGGAAAGTCCTGTTAAAATGCCACGATATCAGTTAGTGGCTGCTAGAATATAGGTTTCTAAAGCCATGTCTTCACCCTGGGGAAAATTGATACTGCTGCAATCGATTGATCTGGAGTTTGATTTAGTAGGTCTAGTAAAGACCCATTAAATCGAACTCAGAGGGTGCGCTCCTCCCCTCTCTCCCCCCCGGTCAGTGGCCAGTACTCCTGCTCCTGAGAAGAGTAAGGGAAACCAACAGGAGTGTTTTCTCCTGTTTGTCTCCTACTGTGGGGGCAGTGGGGAAACTCGAATCGAGGTATATCGATCCCAGCTACGTAATGAATGTAGCTGGAGCTGTGTATCTTAATTCGACCTTCCCCGGTAGTGTAGACCTGGCCTAAGGTGTCAGTCAAGTGACATGGTTACCTCATGCAGTAAACAGGAGGCAGATTTACAGCAGGTTGCTTTATATGCACTGACCCCATCGCCTCAGACAGATGAAGGGCGGTGGCAACTGTCGTGGATGTAAGCACGTGGTTCCAGGGAGCACAGGTATTTCTGACCTGATGTACAGACTCTCTTTGAGGTTGCTAGTCAAAATCTTCTATCTGTTTATCAACATCCCTTTGTGCCTTTGTCTGGGTGGACACCGTCTTGTCTACTAGCACAGAAACACATTCCTGCCCCAGCAGGTCCCATTGTGCTTGGGCAGACCGAGATAGCAAGGCTCATGGACAGCAGAATAGACTCCTGCTTGAGGTTAAACTATAACCACCTCTTTGCACAATGCACAACACAGTTACACAGCACGTTTTCAATCTGCCCATGCAACTGCTTTTCCGGGAGCAAGGGGTAAGAGTGAGAGAAAGGGCTCATAAAGGCAAATGACTTACGATCATTCCTCACCTTGCCATTGCAAACCAAATATACTGGAAAGAGATTAGTCATAAATGATGCTGTCACGTATGGCGTAGAAATTGAGATCAACTAATTGTATCAATAAATGAAAGCATTCGCCTTAGAGGATAACGAGACTAACAGGGCTCCCTCTCTGAGATTCCTTAGACAGTTTTAATTCAACACGTTTTGCTCATTGACTAACTTTGCCTTAAGGAACTGAACTTTTGCCTACATTTAACTTTATGGCTAAGTCTACACTGTGAGTTTTTGCGGCAGAAAATATGCTAATGAGGGACTTATTAGCATAAGTCACAATCTCATTAGCATATGTTCTGCCATTTCTTTTTGCGCAAGGAGTTTTTGCATAATGTAGCCGCTTCCGTTTTGTGCAAAACCCCGGTTTTGCGCAAGATCCTCATGCCTCTCTGGGATAAAAACCTCTTGTGCAAAAAGAAACAGCAGAAAATATGCTAATGAGATCACAACATATGCTAATGAGTCCCTCATTAGCATATTGTCTGCCGCAAAAACTCAGTGTAGACAAAGCCTTTGAGAATAAGGAAGTTCTGTTGACTTCAGTTGGGACTGCTTGTGTGATGAAAAATAAGCATACGTAGAATTGCTTGTAAGATCAGGCTCTTAAATGTTATTTGAGTCTCAGATGTTTGAGCCTTAGATATTCAGGCCCTGTCTATAATACTGCAGGCCACCACACTAACGTACGCAACGTCAGCTATGTGAATAACATAGCTGAAGTCGATGTACTTAGGTCTCCTTTACCGTGGCATCTTCACGGCGGTTAAGCAATAGCTGGCACTCTCCCATCGACTCCACCTGCTCTTCTTGTTTTCGCCGAGTACCAGAGGTGACAAGAGAGTGCTCAGTGCGATAAATCAACCCCGCTGGGTCACTTACTGCCCGTCAGTCCAGCGGGTAGGGAAGGCATGCCCTGACTACGGCAATCTCAGGTCCCCTGGTGGATTGTGATACAGCAAACAAATGGTAGGATAAAACAATTGTCAAGATATTGTAGTTTTGTTTAAAGATTTTTTTTGAAGTTACATCCATTTCTCAGTGACACGGAAGTGACAGAGGGTTCATATTTTCTGCAGAGAGCACCTTGGTTTTCAAGATTTCATTCATGCACAAATAACCCTGATTGCTGGAAGAGCTGAATGGATGTTACTGAGATCTGAACATGTGGTTCAGCTCTTCTAAACCCAGGGACTGGTTCTGCTGCTGTGGAAGAATAGGGGCAGGGACCTATCAGGAACTGGGACAGCTCTCTGCTTGACTCCAGTTCTGGAACAGGTTAGAGCAGCCAACGGGCTGCTCTAACATGCCAATTGGCAATGGTCTCTGAAGGCCAGTCCACTAGTATAGCCAAAGTGAAGCGTTCTTTGACCATGGCCATGCCCTGAGCCTCCACCCACTGTGACAAAGGCTGCAAGGACAGTAGCCCTGGGCCTATACTATGACAGAGGACTCTCCAGCAAAGGCAATAGGACTAGATTGTAACTCTTCGGTGCCGTCAAAGTGGTGCAAAGGAGATGGAGCAGGACAGAGAATCTGGCCCAGTGTGAACTCAGACACCACCACACACACAAATCCTTTTAGCAAATAAATTCAGCCTGGACCAAAGCGCTCTGTATTTCTGGCACACCCAGGGTGAAATTAGGGGAGCCCTGCAAGCCCCATAATGCAGCAGAACAAGTTGGTTTATGGAGGTGCTGCAAAGGAGGAGTCTGCCATTCCCAGGGTGTCAGGCACAGGATGAGCAGCGTGGCAGTGGGGTAGGGCCATAGCCAGAAAGCCCATGCCTCATAGGCACGTGCATGGCGAGGGAAGTAGAAACATGTTACCAATGTATTTTATTCATACCCAGCAATAGCAGCTCTGCACCTAAATCCTCCGCTACTTCCTAGTCAGTTGTCTGAAGACTCTTTTAAGGATTCCAAGGACTGCAGGGTTTAGCCCAAGGATGTTACTTCAGATCCTGAAAATCTGGAACAGGTTAGAGCAAGGTTACTTAACACATGGCCCACGGGCCGCATGTGGCCTATGGCCCGTTTGTGGCCCGCAGTGCGGTTTGGGTTTACACAGGGCTCAACACACAGTCTGCAGGTAGGGTCCTTTGAACATGGCCTCTGCTGGGAACATGTTCCACAACAGCGAGGCATCTCCCAGGTGGGGTGAGCACTGAAAAACGCAAGCAGACAGGCTGGCTAGAACAGATGGGTACAGGGTATCGTCAGACAGAGCCCCCAGGGAGGAGGTGCCTGAGTATTGTGGGAAGTGTTTTGTATTCATGCCCGTCAGTGTGAAAGAAGCTGTTTGCATATATTTGCATATATATTTGCATGTATATGCAACCACATTTAAGTTGTGGCCCTCGGCATGTGCCGTGAGTATCATTGTGGCCCCCGGGGCTTCCAAAGTTGAGTAGCCCTTGGTTAGAGCAACCCGAGGACTGCTCTAACATGTGCCAATTAATTTTCCCCCACTAGAGAGCCACTTTGGCACGGCCCACATTAACTTGTTATATCTTCCGGAAACACTGAGTCCCAATCCTGGACTATAACCCCATAGTGGTAGGTGCTGTACAAACAAGGAACAAAAAGCTGATCCCTGACCCAAAGAGCTTACAGTCTAACCATTGATTTTAGTTGGGGCAAAGAGGTTACCAGTGGGGAGTGCCGGGTTTCATGTGCATTTGGGTGTTAGTCACATGGCTCAAATCCAGTTTTGCATAAGAAAAGACATTCCCCTTTATGGTATTTCATAACTTCCTCTTCTGATATCTTCCCCGCACAGCGACTGATTTCTTATAGTTATATAAATGTCTCTGAGTGTGACGTGACAACAGAAATACCTACAACCAGTGCTTTTTTTTTTTTAAAGGTACCAGTACTCCAGGGGAAAAAGTTGTTGAGCTCTGATTGGAGGTGCTGGTATCATGTCTGGAGGTGCCGGTACTGTGTACCAGGCATTACCATCACAACAAAAGCACTGCCTACAACAATGTACGCTTTTCAGGTTCATTCTTTGAGACTCAAACTAACTGAACTGTAATTTGAACAGAGCTTGATTTAGGCTTAAATTTTCCAACATGGCCACTGCATGTGGGTGCCTAAAATATTTGGCAGTCCAACTTGAGCGGTGCCGGGCCTGGTTTTCAGAGCCATTTGGCCCTCTCTGCTGTTAAGTGGTACAGAGAGTGTTCAGCACCTGTGAAAATCAGGTGCAGGATGGGTCATATTTATTTATTTTTATTTCAGTGGCAAAACTGAACACTGTCATGTCTACTGCTCTGTGATTTACATCTCCACAAGGATGTTTTACAGGGGATCCTTAGGGTGTGAAGCCAAAGAACGCAGCAAATACCTTATGGAAGCCTCTGTCACCCTTCTATTAACTGCTGTTATTTTGATTTAAGGACACATCTAGCTGCATGACATACAACAAGACACTGAATTATGCAACCAAAGAGTGCAAAGCAACCCCCCCACTCCTAAAGGGCTCCCAGACTACGGGAAGTCAGTCCTCTCCAGAAACATCAAACCAATGCTTGATTTAAGAGAGAGAGAGAGAGAGAGAGTCAAAGCCAGGGGTGGGGAACCTCTTCTGGGCCGTGGCTGCTGACCCACAGAAAAACCAGCTGGGGACCTCACACAGGTGAGAAACAAACAAACAAAAAAAACCTCTCGCTGACATGGCCCCTGACTGAGAAGGAAAAAGACGTTCCCCACATTCCCCGGCACACCAGAGCCTAGGGGGGCCCAGCCTAGTAGATTTTGTGTGCTCCAGTCCCGCAGGGGAGAAGGGGGCTGGAGTACCAGAGTGGGGTCCCCAACATTGCAGGGGGGAGCCCTGAGTAGGGTTGCCAGGTGTCTGGTATTCTGCCGGACAGTTCGGTTTTTGGGCCCTCTGTCCGGTAAAAAAAAATCCAGAAAATACCGGACACGTGCAATGTCCGGTATTTCCTGGATTTCTGGCTGGGTGCCGGACAGAAGCCTGGTGGGGGTGGGAGGAGGGGCTGGGAGGGGGCACGATCGGCGCTGGGAGCCCAGGCTGTGTCTGACCCCTGGGGGAGGAGGAGAAGCCCTGTCCCTGCTCCTGAGTGCATGGTGGAGCCGCAGCCGGACTCACTCGCGCTTCCCCGGACTGTGGGCAGGACTGACAGCATCTCCGGGTCTGG